AGCACCGTTCACCACCACTCTCTGGGCCTGGCCCTCCAGCCAGTTCCTAACCCAGCACAGAGTGCCCCTCTCCAAGCCGTGGGCTGCCAGCTTTTTCAGAAGTATGCTGTGGGAGACGGTGTCAAAGGCAGAGTTTCCCACTCTGCCAGGCTTTGTTACTAGGAGTCAGTGGAGATGTGAGTTCCTTCCTGTGACTGCTGCTTTGCAGCATCAGCAAGGAATCCCACTGCAAACTAAAGATCCTGAGTGACTTGTTCAAGATGTATTTTTCATGACAGATGACTACCTTAAGGACAAAATCCTACAGCTGTTTTCCCCTGCTGTGCAGAATAACCCCTGTTGCTCAAGGTTAACAGCAATCATCTTGGCCAAACACAGTGTTAGTTCTGGTGTTGTCATGCTTTGGATTAGCAGGCCTGCAAAGCAAGAAAGTACTTCTTCAGAAAGCATCCTGCATTTTCAGAACTTTTAATTTTAAAAAAATTGTGATGTTGCTTAAATGTATCATTTAACAAAAATTTGTAAACTACATTTTTAAATTTAAAAAGAAGGAAATGGTATTCAAATTCTGATAGCAAAAGCTGTGTTACCCAAAGCCAGACTGTGGTAAACAGAAGAAAAGATGGATTATTTGGGTAATGATTTAATGCAAAGTATTCTGGAGATGCTATGGGAAAATTATCAAAACTTGGGAATCAGGAAAGAGAATAGTGAGGCTCCTTTAAAAAGTAACAGCACTACAAGTTTGAAATTTTCCTACATAGGCAGTTATGGGTTCTGACCAACCTAAATCCTGCACTGTGAAGGACATGTCTTGGGGTCACCTGCCACCACATTTCATTGTCCATTGTACTGTATAAGTCACATTTCTGTTACTGTAGAACTACTTCAATTGCAACTCCTCTTCCACAGGATAGTTAAGTGCAAATATATATTTCCCCCAGCAGATACTTCGACAAATACGTGTTTCCCCAGCAGATGCTTCCTACTACCCCTGGATATTGAGTACAGCCAAGTAAGGTATGTACCTAAAGTGGCAGAAAATGCACCATACGTAATATGTTATTTGGTGTCACATCAACCCCTCTGTCCTTCATTCAACATTGAATCATCTCCCTCATGGAAAAGGTTAGGCTGTATCTTACACCATGTTCTGCCTGGTTTTTAGTAGGACATAGAAAAATGTTTGCTTTTCTTTGTGTGGCATCTACCAGCATTCAAATTGGCATTGTTTCTTCTAGTTACTACTTGTTTAGCTGCAGTGCCATGTTGGACAAAAACCTCTGTGAAGCAACTGTGACTGATCTTTATTTAGCAAGGATCCAGAGGACAACAGGTGACCTGTTAAGGTTGGAAAGTATTTTATAGTAGTGAAAAGCCTTCTATAGTGCCTTCCTATCTGAGAAACTTTAACAGCTTTTCATTTGCCTCATTCAAATAACATCAAATCTAACACTGTGACATACACAGAAATTATTATATCTGTAGGGAGCCTCAGAAAACAGGAGAAATCAATGTCCCAGGACCTACTGAAAGATTGCAACACTTTCGGAAAATTTTGTATGGTTTGCAGATTCACATTTACTAGAATTGCCTTATGCTGTATGACTCTCTTGTCCACCTAAAGCCCAGAACTGTCCTCAGTTTCTTTACCCTCAAAGGCTGGAACTGCCCTCTGCTCCTTTACCCTTTACCCATTAAAAACAAATAACATGATATATCCACAAAACAACGATACCATAAAGACCTTTGGCTCTTGCTAATGCCAGAGCCCAAATCAGATTATTAAAAAAAAAGAAAAAAATTTTAAAAGGGTACAAAATAACATTTACCACTACTCCTGCTTTCACTTTCCTTTCTCCTTGAATTCTGCACAGCAGAGTTGAAGTTAGAAACTTAAGTTGTGTTGTCATTGTATGCCTATATGACATATGTTAGTACCAGGAGGAGGAAATGTCATTGAATAATTACAGAAAGATGGCCTGGAAAGATCCTTGGGAGTCCATCCCAATGCTTGGGTTGCATCACCCAGACTGAAACTACATCTGAAAAACAGCTGCTTAACAGTTTTTAAAAGCTTGTGATTATGAAGGCACTGCAAGCTCCACAATCAGTCTCATCTAGCACTGTCCATACCACTAGAAAGTCTGTTCTAATGTCTAATATAAGTGGTGGAGAACAGATAATTAATTTCCTCTTTATGGATAACTTTAAGTCTTGAAGTTTATGTTATTCTTTTTTTTTTTTAATAAATAAGTCTATTTCTTTCAGTCTTTCCTTGCAGATTGTGTTTTGTATCCCTACCCTTATCCTCCTCTTTACAGCCCTCCTGAAATGCACCACACAGCTGGATGTGGTACTCCAGCTGAGGCTTTGCCCCTGACAAACACAATGGAAGGACTATTTAACGTCTTTTATTTTTACACATGCCAATAGCACATTGAGTGTTTATTTTTCCAACAAAGTCATCTGCTGTATGACTGAGAGTATGATGAACTCTTTCTCAGACAGAAAGTGCAAACACTGAAGATGAAAAGGCTGTGCCAGGGCAAAGAGCTGTTGATTCCCATATCCTAGACTTGCTTTCAACACACAGCCGGTGGGACACAAAAAAGCAAGTGGATTATGTAACTAATAACTGTGAAAGTTTCCAAGAGACAAAGGAAACTCTCCAGTGGTTACAACTAGTGACAAAATGACAAGGCAGTTTGAACAATGCCCATAACCTTCTGCCACTTCACTAACCAGTAGGACACCAGGCAAAACTGTCTTCATCACTGCAGAGACCAGAAGAGAAATGATTTTCAATTGTAAGTAGCAATGTAAACAGTGAAACAGGAATCAGCGCACAAAAAGCAGAACTCTCTGGTAGAATTGTTTGAGGGTGGCCCTCTTTTGCTTAAAAAAGAAACATAAAAAATGTGTAAGGAAATTCAGGAGCAGTAAGGTTAGGGGTCTGGGAATTATTTAATTAAATCCTAGCTCTACACAGCCCATTGGGAAAGAACTGGCTTTTGGACAAAACTGTTGTAAGAGTATGTAAACATGGATTGTTCAGAGATATGTGAAAAGATGCTGAGCACCAAAGTCAACTACTGATATGACGCAGGTATCAGGCTTAGGGCAGCTTGCCAAAAAATAGTCTACTGGCTGTTGATGAAAGCATTACATATCTCATAGTATGAACTGGGTTGAGAATACAAGAAAAGACGTTACTCAGAGGAGCCACGCAAAAGTCAGTAGCAGTAACAAAAGTTAACCTGAATTTCTCTTTATTCAGAAGTACACTGTTGAGAACTAGCAGGTACTTAGGAAATGTGATCGGGTGCAAGCTGTAATGTGTGCAGGAACTGGTTTGCATCAGAAATAATAAAACCCAGCCGCCTGTGGAAGGAGCTGGCCAAACTCCAGGAACAATTTAAGGTCAAACTGGAATTAAAGCCTTTCTTAAAAGGAGACAGAAATTTGAGAAGTCAGAAAACTGAAGTGACTGCACAAAACCACAAAATCACTCAGTGTTAGAATCGGTCCAAATGATGTGCAACAAGAAAGAAAGGAGCCATTTAAAGTTTACCTCAAGTAAGATCCTACCTGCTGTACATATAAAACCTGGAAAGTACTTGATAGTTACTAGGAGTTTCAGGAGGGGGTCTGAATGGGGATACCAGTTCTGAGGTGAGAACCTTGTAGCTACTTTCTGAGGCCTATCTTTTGCAACACTGTGATTGGAACATGAGCTCTGTGAGCTGCCTTAACAACTGAAATGTAAAATTTTTGGGAGGTCTGTAATAGACTTGAATGGTTATAGAGAACTATTTTCATTGTATGAAGCACTTACAGCATACTGGAACACAAATTTTGGATTCTTTATGTTTCATTGAGGGTTGCACACGAGGCCACATTCAGCTTCTTAGTGAGAGCTGAACGGGTATTATCACCTTTTTGCACCAGCCAGTAAGCTTAAATAAAGTTTCTCAGCTGCCAGTCTTGCCCTGAGATTAGTTGCCTTATTATTGCTCCCCTCAGGGAGCAATACTACAGGATGTTTTGACCTTTCAGGGCATGCCATCTACTTGCAAGGCAGCAGAGTGACAGCAGCAGCAGGGCTGCACCGTGGGGGTAGGTCCTACAAATTCCTGGCAGCTCTTCAGTCAGAAATAGAAAGCACCGAGTGGCCAGAGCACTCTGCCTTTGGAGGCAGCAAAAGAGCTGATTCCAACTGTTTCTAGGAAGTCCTGGGCTCAGAACCAGACTAGTTCTGGTTCTTGTCCAGTCTTCATCGACTGGTCACTGCCACCTACACAGTGGTTGAGACCCACCCTTTTGGATAGCCCCTGTGTTCCTTCTGGACAGGCATTGGATTTGTATTTACAAAGCAATGTAAAGCTTATGTACTGAATGCATAATTTCAGTATTGGTAATGCAAAGAAATATGGTTAGAATTGAACAAAACTAAAAAATAATAAAATAATAATAATAATATCACCTGTCTAACTGCTTTGTCAAAAACATTCAGCAGGGTATTTTAGAGAGCAAAGTAGCTCTTTAAGCCCACCTTGTTCCTTTCTGTTCCTCCACACAGCAGGTAGCTAAAAGTTCCTTTGCCGACTCAGGGAAGCTGCGGGGTCGCTGGCAGCACGGGCGCCCATACGACCGTAAACCGAGGGGCAAAATCAGTGCCCTTATAATTAATACTGAGGAGAAACCCTAAGGGGCGAGTGACCTGCTCGTTAATCGGGAGCGCTGAAATACCTGACACAGCCGCTCCAGGCTCCAGGGCAGGAACGCTAGTGGAAAACGCTACCCTGTCCCGCCAGCCCAGCAGCCTCCCAAAGCCAGTGGCTAGAGGAGACGTCTGACTGCAAGGTCAGGGTGGTTAATCTTTTCCCAAGTTTGTTTACAGGCAGGCTCAGCATCCCCTTCTTGCCGACTACGCCTTTATACCCAACCCTTCCTTCCCCCCTCCCGGCCGGCTCGGCTTCTCGGGCGAGCCCGCCCCGGGGCGGAGCTCCGCGTTCCCCAAAAACCGCCTCGGAAGCAGGGAGCGGGATTGGGATTTGGATCAGGATTTGGGAGCTGCAGGGATCGGCACGGTAGGACGCAGGGGTGGAGGAGACCTCGGTGGTGAGTGGGGAGGCGGCAGCTGCTGCCCCTCAGGTCGTGGTGGGGTGGGAGACCATCTTTTGTGTGTAGTTATTTCTACAGTCCTTGTTGTCTCTCTAGAGCCGAATCCATTTTAAGTAGCTAAAACTACTGTAAACTGAAGTACACCGTGCGCTTAATACGGTGACGATGTTTTAACCAGTGTATAATTCGATACGTGACTTTTCAAGCTTGTTCCCCAACAGGGGAATCTCGAGCTATTTAAGCAATGCATTCGTTTATGGAACCCGGGGTTTTGGTTTTATTCCGGTCACGCTGTGGTTAAAAGCAAGCAGACTTGCTTATGACTTTTGCAGAAAGCACATGGATGAATCTCTGTATTAATTCAACCCAGCAAGTATCCCTCTGTCATCACTAAAGTTCAGGGAACAACAATATATGTTTGATAAGGACACTATCTTTTTATAAAACTGAAGACTTTAATTTTTTCTATAATGATGGCTGGTTTCCCTTTTTAACTAGTTTGCCACTCACTCACCTGATATGGAATTCTTCTAAGGAGATACTTATTGTTTTTATTGGTATAGAGAAGAAATTCCGAGGAAGAAGCAAACCAAGAATTCAGAAAATGAACGGAAAATGAAACAGCTGAGGTCATGGGACGAAATTACTGGCTGGTGTGTTTTTTGGGTTTTTGGTTTTTTGTTTTTTTTTTCCTCTGTGATCAGCTCTGCCTCTTTGCTTTAATTTCTCCTTCTTCTTCCTACTTCTTTCTAAATTAAGGAAAGCTAGAAGGAAGGATGTAGGATAGAAGTGGAAAGACTCATATAGTTCGTTTTCCATACTGGCAGGGGAGGAGACTAGTAGCCTTTCAGAGGTACAGACCTTGATCTTCACCTTGGGATATGTCAAATAAGAGTGCCCTGTAAAATTTCTGCATTAGGGTATCCTACGTGGATATTGAAGCTTCAACTAATATTAGTAAATATATGTACAAATTGAAAACTTTATTTGGCAGTGCACAGCATTACAGAGAAAAAGTGAGTAGCCTTCACTGCGTAGACAGAGTGAAATACAAAACAAACAGAAAAAGGATATATTTTACTTTTATCAGTGTTGTGGTATTTGTGATAGATGAAACTTTGTTTTAGTATATTGGGGTGGAGGGAGTTAACTGCCAGTTTTGACAAGTTTCTCAGAAGCAAAGGTCAGTGTGTGGCTGATAGTGGGAAAACCAAGTTTGGCTTTGTCTCTGTTAATTAAATGATCTGTCATTAATCATGGCAGAACAGGAATAAGATGATCTTGGAGCTAGAACTGGCTCCCCTCTATACAATGCCATCCCCACGTGGCTCTGCTCCATTTGTATGGAAAAGCTGGCATAGTCTGTGCCTGTGGTCCTGACCTCTGTACTGCACTTTTTTGGCAGTATGGAAGGGTGTCCTTAGTTGCCTTTTCCTTGTTTATCTGTTTTTTACATCAGCGGTGTTCTTTGCAGTGGTCTAAAGAGTAAGATGGGTTTCTGTGCACGTAGGTGTTGAGTATTTGAAATTGTGTGCTTTGGAGTTTCATCGTACTGTGTGTCAGAAGACCCAGGCAACTCTTCATGAAGTAAAGAATGATAAAAGGAAAACCAGGGCTGCAGAAACTGCTCAGGCATGCTGAGTGTCTGCAACTTCTGAAACTTCATTTAGATGCTGGGTTATTGGCACTTCTAGAGGAAGTGACTAAAGAAGGTTCAGCTGTACAAAAGGCTAACAAAAAGTAACTGGTGTATTTGTGATATTTTCCAGCTGGGCTGTACAGGTGAATAAACAAAATAACTGGGAATGTAAGTGCCAAGGGAGGTACTTTCAAGTACAATTTTCCCATAAAATTAATTGGTAAAAGATAACTGTAGAATCCAATGCTCAGGAGGATATTGTAGAAAATGGGAAAGTATTTATATTATGAGGAAGGGGAAAAATAAGCTGTGGACAGACCTGCTTGGTTTTGGGAAGGGCAGTCTTGTATTGGCTGGACTAGTTCTTCTATTTTTTCTAAGATAATTTAACATCTTGCAGAGCACATGCCATATTTAATTATGATTTGTAGTCACACTGTCAAATTTACTTAACTGACCTCTGAGTTAGAGCAGCCTTTTTTTATGTACAATGCCTTATATACCTGATTACAGTATTTTCATGTAATGTTCACAAGAACAAATACTGTCAACACCAGTAGCAGAAATAGGTCTTAATGGAAGCAAAATGGCATGTGCACCCTTATTTTCTGTCCCAGTGTACCAGCTCAGCTCATGTTAGTGCTGATAACTGAAAAAAAGGAAGTTTTGTCATGACTGTCTTAAAAGTTCCATTCGAGTGCAGGATGTAGCCAAACTAGTTCAGCTTGGTAAAAACCCTTGGAGGCTATTTCACTGCAGTGCTCCTTAACATCATGCCTTAGGAGACAAACTGCTTTAACCTTTCATGGTAAGGAGAGTGGTGGCCTAAGTACATAGTAGACATTGATTTGAACCCAGATGCCTTTGTACAGTATTCCTGACTTTCTTCTGATTGTCAATCGTATTACATATTTTTTACCCTCAGTAGGTTTGAAAGGCCATTTTAAACGGAGCAGGCACAAAATTTTATTAAGTGTTAGCATGTATAAGATGTACTTACAGAAGCATAAAATCATCTTATTTCGCAGAAAGAGGAACATATAATGCCAGCACTAAACTGGAAGCCCTTTATCTATGGAGGTTTAGCATCAGTCACTGCAGAATGTGGTAAGCATTTCCTTTACCTGTTCACATTACTTTCTTTATTCAGATAGCATAGAACCAAGCTTGATTTAAATAGAGACTATCAGTGACAGTAGTATATAGTGGTCTACAGCACAGGAGTTTTTTTGTGTAATGCTGACTGAAGATTTGCTGTGATCTGTGTTACCATGTGAGAATACTTGTGTCTGTAAACCCTCATCCCTTGTGAGTCTTGTTTTTATAGAATTTTTGCCTTTACATTTTATTATTTGGTGTTTGTTTGATCTGTTCTTAGTGGTCATGAGTAAATACAGCTTTTGCTTTGCTACAGTAGACAAGCTAGATTTGATTAGATTTGAACAATTAAATTCAGTTTGTGAGCAACATAGAATAATTGCTGTAGTGAGACAGCACGCCTGACGTTTTAGGCCTGCTCTAAAGACTGACCTAAAATATCTGCATCCTTATAAAGTCATATCTGAAATGCATGTAACATGAAAATGAAGGAAATGTGGATTTTCATAGTAGCAGAATATAGTTGGGCATGTGGTTGACTTTCATGGGAAGTCTGTCAAGTAAAGTAGATGCAATATAAAATTACACCTAAAACTACTGTTTTGTTTTCATAGAATCATAGAATAGTTTGGGTTGGAAGGTCCTCTAGTCCAACCTCCCTGCGCTGAGCAGAGATATCTTTAACTATATCAGGTTGCTCAGAGTCTTGTCCAGTCTGACTTTCAATGTTTCCAGGGAAGGGAAAGATTTCTACTTTCTCTTACGAAACTTGTGCAACCTTGAGTTTGAAACTTCTCTTATTTGACTTGACTGAACATGGCCAATAATACTAAAAGCTTTGTAAGGAAGACAAACAATTCACAAAAGCTTTGTGCGTCTGGTAAACCTTGTTAGAACAAATGTAGTTAATCCTGATTCCTGTTAGTGCTTAGGTCAGTACTGAATGTTGAGGTGGTCATTTTCCTAAAGATGAGCTCTGGAAGGATATGCTTTCTGAACCCTTTCATAAAGGAAGCATGAAGAGTGTGAACTGAACGTAGCTGTAGGAAAGCAATAACAGAAATAGGTACTGCTGCTCTTGCTTTTTTTTTTTTTTTTTTTTTTTTTTTAGAATCTGTATAGCGTGTCCTGTGGAATTTATTTGCCTTCAATGATGTGCTTTTCAAAGGCGTTGGTAGAATGCACATGCAAACTCTGTACTTGATCGTGATTGTAGTGTCCTATTCAGTGTAGCTGTTTACAACCGGGCAATACCATGTTGCCTGAAAGTAAAGTGAATGGAGAGTGTAAACACAGGGAGTAGGTAAGACCTCTGACAAACTTTTAGAAGAAACAAGGTGATACAGCATGAACCACTTGTTTAAAAGAAACTCTTGTTAAGAGACTTCTTTCCCATGGGAGTATTTTTATATATTTTGGTATATAAGAAAGATTGCTGTTTCATAAATGATGTTCTTTGTTGTCTCTTGTTAGGTAAGTACTTAATTAATTTTCTCTCTGATTTTCGTTCAAGGTACTTTCCCCATCGATCTGACCAAAACACGTCTCCAGGTTCAAGGTCAGGTTAATGATGCCAAATATAAAGAGATCCGCTACCGTGGAATGGTGCATGCACTAGTCAGAATATGCAGAGAAGAAGGATTGAAAGCCTTATACTCTGGGTAAAATAAACTGACTTGCAGCAATGGCTTATGAACAGTCTGTTGATAAGTATAAGCCCATAGTGTGTGAATTTTTGGATTTTAGAATTAGAAGATATTTGGTTAGCCTTAATCTGGAAGTTGAAAGACCAAGCTAAGATCACTTCAGTGTTTGCACTCTGCAATAGAATTTTGTATTTTAAAAAACTCATCAAACAAACAACAAAACCTACTTGGAAAAAATAGCTAAGCATACAGTTATTCTCTACAGTGCTGCTTTGGTTGGCCCATCTTGCAGAAGAAAAATTGAATTAACCTTTGTATATAGATGAACATACTTTTCTTTAAAACACGTAGGATGGTGGGGGAATTACATTTCAGACATGCCTGCCAGCTATTTTATAGATCACAAGTTGAGGCATATGGTCTAATAGTAATCCCTACGCAGTTCATTCCTGTTCTTGCAGGCTTTATTTAAAACAAACAAACAAAAAAGCTCCAAAGATTGTTTTGTCTATAGTGAGTTTAAATTGTCTATTTAAATGAACCAGCCTTTCTCTGGTAGGTATCTTGTGTTCAGTCTCTCCTGCTCTAGAAAGTGTCTGCTGATCAGTTTTTTCCATCTTGAGCATAAACATTATCGCTGTTTGTTTTTACAGGATTGCACCTGCAATGCTACGGCAAGCTTCATATGGAACTATAAAAATAGGGACTTATCAGAGCTTAAAAAGAATGTTTGTTGAACGTCCAGAAGGTGAGTTGTTATTTTCCATTTCATTGAGGACTGACTTGCTTGAAGCTGGTTGTTTCCATTTGGTATCTTACTGTAGCAGTTTGAACAAGTCTACTGAGAAGACATTGCTTGTACTAGTTACAACAAAATGAGTCGGCAAGGATAACTTGTCAGAGCAGTTTTTAAGGCTTCTCTAACTGGCACTCTCTGGTTACAGGAGGGGAGGCATCATCCTGCCCTGATGCATCTTAAGATTTGTAAATCTGCAGCTAAACTCTTTTTCTTTGTTTGCAAAATAGATGAAACCTTGATGATAAATGTTCTGTGTGGCGTTCTTTCTGGAGTAATCTCATCATCTATTGCCAACCCTACAGATGTCTTAAAGGTAATTATATACAGTTTGTCCTTAGTTTTTGTTCTCTCCTTGAGGAAATGCAGAATCTCCTGATGAATGCAGGATTTGTTTTGTAGGCCTATTTATTCTCATCTTTTAACTTTTAAAAAATTAGTAACATCCTGAATGCTTGGAACCTCCTTCTAGTCCATACTAATTATTTGGAATTATGCACGAGGAAACTGAAGGCTGGGGAGGTAGTTGGATACACATAACTTTTTGTGAGAGAATAATACACGATAATTCTTTCAGACTTTCATGCTGTAGTGTTTGTGTGGAAGCCACACTACTTATTTCATCTGTACTTCTTGGTAACACTTGTTTTACACTAGGATGTTTCTAAAGCTCAAAATAGGTGAAGATCAGTTTAGAGGGAAGAGTTCCAGTGAGCGCTACTTGGACTGTATGATTCTTTAACTCTGTAGAGAGGCTTTGCAATCCTATATTCCATGGAAATAGTGTTCCAGCATCAGTCATTTAAAGTGAATTGGTGAAATGACCATGTCTTTAAAAATCTGTCAGTTTAGCTCGGTTGGTCAGAGCATTGTGATGATAACACCAAGGGTGTGGGTCTGATCCCTGCATGGGCCATTCACTTAACAGTTGGACTCGATGATCCTTGTGGGTCCCTTCCAACTCAGAATAATCTGTGAAGTAATGCCAGTCAGTTACTTGAAATGGTTGATTGTATTTATCTTACAAAACTGGGGCTTGTGACTTAAATAGCTGCTTAAAAAAAAAAAAAAGTCAAGAAAACTTTGTTCTCCTGAAACTACTAAAAAACTTAACCCTTCATAGTGCTATTGTGGTTATGTAGTGGCATTTCAAATATAAGCTTGTATTTCAAGTATGGCTTCAATTAGTTATATCCTAAAATTATGTCCACTTACCAAGTTGCTTGTTGCCAACTTGTACTTGGAAGTTACCGTGGCAGGTTTCTAAGAGCTTTCTTAGAAATTTATAGGGTCAAAGACCATGGTTCTCACTGGCTGAAACATTAATATTTAACCTTTCATTTCAACCTGTTCCTGTGAGAACACTGTAAAGGGCATCCTGCAAAACCCGTCTGTCAGTCTAAATGATCTAAATGAAGTGTACCCATACAGAAATAGAAGTGACTTCATGCAGCTAAGAATTCTACCACATACTTGTTCAAAATTAGCAGCTGCATTTGGGTAGTTAAAGCAAAAGATTATGTTATGGTTATGATAATGACAGCTCTTAATTTATATTCAAAAGAAATTGACTTTATTACGTAAAATTGTGACTTAATAACAAAACTGTATTAAGCTATTTTCTTGGTTGTATGTTTGAAAAATGTTTACCTTTTACTTTTGTCTTCAAATGAATCTCAGATCAGAATGCAAGCCCAAGGTAGTGTGATTCAAGGAGGAATGATGGGCAACTTCATACAGATCTACCAAAAGGAAGGCACTAAAGGATTATGGAAGGCAAGCTTTTTTTTTTTTTTTTTTTTTTTTAACTTTATCTTACACTTTAAGTACACTTTCTTGCTCATTTGAATTTTGTGTATTTCTACAGCATTCTCAGCTAAATTATGGAGGAGCTAATATGTATGTCATTTGTCATGACTGCTTCACTGCTGGTGTCTTAGTGCTTTTAGATGAAGGGTTACTGCCAGTCTTGTGTTCAAGGATTAGCTGCCACTTAGAAAAGGGAAAACAATTGTAGGCTTCAATTAGAGTGACTGGCTCTAGGACTAGTTCAACAACTTTTTGCATGACACCTGTATATTCTGCCTGTTTTAAAACATATACTGAAGAACACTGGAAGCAGAGGTACTAATGAACATCCCCTCTATCTCAGGATTCTCATATTCAGTCATAGATTGCTCTTGTGCCAATTACAGTAAATGACTATATAACAACTGAAGACACAAAATAGACAATTGTTCTGAAACAGCTGGAAATAGAAATGTTTTTTCTGTTAGTGTGTTTTTCTCTGCAAAGTTTCGTGATCTCCCATTTTCTGTTCATCTTCCTTACTTCGTCAGTTTTTCAGTTAGCTGCAAAGGAACACAGTTTTTGGGGTTTTAGCTGACTGTGGATGCAAGAACTGAGATATTAAGCAGAGATAGAAAATAGCATAAAGAAAATGAAATCACCATTCCTTGTAGAAAAACGATTTATCTGTTATTTCAGATTTGTGGTTTTGGAGCACACACATCTAAGATTTGTATTAATTAACCTTATTTAAATGAATAATGTCCTTAACACATTTGTGGTGTTGTTTGGTATTATAGGAGCTCAGCTTTTCTGATAATGCACAAAGGTTGACTTCAAACTTCAACTATATCCTTTCTTTTGCCAGGGAGTATCACTGACAGCACAGAGAGCTGCTATTGTTGTTGGAGTGGAACTGCCTGTGTATGACCTTATCAAGAAGCACATAATTATGTCTGGATTTATGGGAGACACAGTATATACTCACTTCCTGTAAGTTTGTGTAACTGTTTGTGTAGTTCATCATTGGTTAATTCTTGTTATGGGGATGAGTATTTTGATTTATCTGTCATCAGTATAGATGTAAATACCTTTCTGATGTGTATAACTTTTAATATAATAACATCTCAAAGGGCAGCATGTAGCATGGAAGCTAATTTTATTTAGGACTTGGATTTAACTTTCTTTCGAAATATGGAAATTTATTTTGTGAGTGGTCTGAATCATTCAGCTGTGTAAACTGAGGTTAGAATTTGCTAGCAGAGTTCCAGTTAGATATTATTCACAGGGGCACAACATCTGTTCAAGCATACTGTATAAGTGCTGCATAGCAGGTCTTCAAAAAAACACTTTTTATAGTCAATGAAAAGTAATTTTTCATATCCATTAGCTGATGTAAATTTTAACTGAAAGGATTAAACAGCTATTACTACTGCATGTTTCCTGAGGAAGGGGAATTCTTGTGCATCTTTAAATGTGGTAGATCAAATGTCATTAAACCTTTCTTTTATTAGCTCAAGTTTTGCTTGTGGATTAGCTGGAGCCCTTGCATCCAACCCAGTTGATGTTGTAAGAACACGCATGATGAATCAGAGAAGCCAACATGGGGGACACTCAAGCTACAAGGGCACTTTGGATTGCTTGTTACAAGTAAGTAATTCATTGTCAACATAAATACTGCTGCCATCAATCAATGATTTTGGAGTAGAGCTCAATTTTTCCAATTCCCTAGAAATTAATCCTCGTAACTTAGGTGTGCTTTTTGCCATAATTCTCGAAGGGAATATACTGGCAGTAATGCACTTGGTGTGGAAAGTATCTACTGTTGACAGAAAGGAAGAAAGTTAGTGTCTGCTACAACCCTTACTTCCTTTTGGTGCTTGAATGAGGAGACTAAGGCTCTCAGCAGCACTCTGTCTTACTAAACTTTGTACTATGCCAGGCTGATAGGAAGTGATAATTTTCAGTTCTTGAAGAACAAGATCTGGGACAGATAGTTTTTTTTTTTTTTTGTGTACTGCATAATGGAGAGCCTAGTTAAGCCGGAGGCAAAGTCAGTCTCTGATCTTGATTACTTTTGATATGGTTTCTTAAATCTCTAAATTTGATATGAGGTGGGAGCATGGCAGTCTTTTACATGGAGAAGAATGGATAGTAAGATATTGGTGTCAGGCTGTTGACTGTACAGCCCAAGTCTCACTGTCCAGCGAAATTTTTTGAAGTCCATAAAGCAAACTGAAAAATTTCAAGGGAATGCCTAATGTGAGCTACAGGCTTGCATGCAGAACTCTGCAAGGCTTTTTCTTTTTTGGGTGGAAGTCCAGGAGCGCAATTTGGATTAATTTGTGTTGGGTACTGAATTACATAGACTGCAATTTTACCTACGAGGTAATGCTGCAGGCATTACTAATCTTGGTTTTATCTAGTGAAATTTATCTTTGTTCCATCATACAATATGTTTAAATGAAGGTTACAGGACTAAGCCCTTCTCTTTTCTGGCATAGATAGTCCTGTTAGCTGAGATGCTGTCTAGATTTCTCACTAATAAAGAATTACATAAGTATGTTCTTATTCTGTTGTTATGGTTGTTTGTTTTGTTTTTTTTTTTTTTCCCTAGACATGGAAGAATGAAGGCTTTTTTGCTCTATATAAAGGGTTTTGGCCAAACTGGTTAAGACTTGGTCCTTGGAATATCATTGTATCCTTTTCAAAGGTGTGCCAGACTAAGAAGTTAGCCATACAACAACAAGTATTGTTTTTCACAGAATACTCAGTGTGAAAAGTGTCCTCTCAGCACAGATATTCCCTTTTTACGAATAGGAAGTTGTGTAGTTGACAGGTTTTTTTAGTCAACTGCTGCTGGTCAGTTTCACACAGAGTGAACATTAAAATGTAATCTTGCAAAATAATTCTCTGTTATTCCAATGTCAAATCTGTCCACTTCCTTAGTTTGGAGCCTCATTTTAAATAAAATTGACCAGATGAGTTAGGAATGGGGACTATTTCCAGAACTGGGGAAACTGTTGGCAATTACTGATGCGGTCTTTTTTTTTATCTTAGTCTCGCACAATTTTGGTTTTATTTCAAGAGCCAGGTGATCAGAGCCCTGGGAAGTGGGTTGGTAGTAATGTTACTTTGCCATGAACGAACTTCCCATAGCCCCTCAAAGCTAAGATAGGAAAGACTCACAAAAGCCCCTCTAGGGGCTTTTGCAGTATTCTCCTGCATCCTCAGTCCTGTGGAATAGAGATAGGAAAGTAATTGGCATCACCAGCCTTAAAAGCAAGTTTCATTGTTCTGCCTAGTATTGGGTAAAAAAAGTGGCCAACCTGCAGCATGGCACAGGAGGGAAAAAAGCATGGAACACAGTTTCACACAGACACGGCTATCCTTTAATAAAGTGACCATTTTGTACTGCATGAACAGGAAACAGTTTTCCTTAATCAGCTGTCCCAGTTCTTTCTGACATATGAACAGCTGAAGAAATTGGATGCCTGACATGCTGAGCTGCATACTGAATTCTGTTAATGTACTGTCTGACTTTAGAGCAATGTCCAAGTTGTCTTGTGTATTTGCTCTTTACTGTCTGAACTGCTGGCCAAAGGAAGAGGTCACTGCAAGACTGTTGAGTGAGAAGAACCTGTAAGTGATTTCAAGGCAAACTGGCTCCTGTAACCATGGCTTGTGTGATTCAGTGGATGATGTGCACTATTTTCTAGACTGAACCAAACATGGTGGAATACTGTCAACTGTTTCAGTGTTTTTGAATGAGAAGATCTGTAACACAACTTGATGCTTTTGAGACTCATGCAGGTTTTTTTATAAGAGGCAAAGAACAGGGTTTTTTCTTCTGTATTTATGTAAGGAAAGGAAAAAATTTTCTGAAAAGAAAAATTATTTTTCTTACAGATAGGCAGTACCAAGGAGCTGGGCTTTTTCTGCTTTCAGAAATGTATACGATTTGAGTGTAAAAGCTTAAAGCTTCTAATTAATTGGAAGTGTCACAAGACATCTTTGCAGGCTTTCGGGTCAGCAAAATACCTACTGCAGTGCAAAATCTGCTTCTGATTTTGGAGCTTTTGTGTGTTCTAAATCCTTAGATGTCTGTGTAATCTGCTGGGATAATCCAGCTTCATTTGCAAGTGTGGTTGCTACAGTTGGCAGTTTTGCATAGCTTGAAGAAAGTTTTTTTTTTCCAATGTATCATGATGATTTTCAGCATAAGTCATTCTTCAAGATATTCCTACTTGCAATTTACATATGAATAAAGTTCAAACAAGTTCATGCCCATCTGCTGATCTTGCAGCGAAACTTTCCATGCCTCTTTTGTTGGGAAGAACTACTTGTACTGGTTACTGGCTGTTACCTGTCATCTGAAAGGTGCACTGAGCAGTTCAGGCTGTCTCATGTAGGTGTTTATGTGAAAAGAACTAACCCCTCCAAAGTAGATCTACTATAAAGACTGCTTTCCTTCTTTAAAAAGACACCCAAACCCAGAACTACTGAGCGCTTTCATATACCAAAGAGGCTCAAGTTGCTGTTACATGCAGGGAAACACTTTATGCAGAAATCAACCACAACTTTTTTAAAACATTACCTTTAGGCTTAAGTGTGTATCAAAACTTCAGGGCCTTTAAAGAGTTACATTCTTATTAAATGCTGCTGTTTGATTCCAGGAAAGGGAATGGTGAGATGCAACTCATATGATGAACCCTCTGTGTTTACAGCAGGTAGCAAAGCAAGATGCATAGGTTTGGATTTTTTGTGGCATTGTGTTAATCTTTTACACGTTTTTCATAGAATCCTGCATTCCACTTCAAGAATTTTCATTGTGCTTTCATAACTATTATAATTGCTTAAAATTACTAATTTTGAATATACAAATGGATTTTTAAATGCACAAGGCACTTTCTTTCCTAAGGTACAATGTTTTCTATATATATGGGTATGCTGATGTGCAGTGATTTTCCTTACAACTGTTTCTGTACTTTCTGTGCTTTAATAGAAACACTTGTAAATATTTTTGTACACCATATAAGCAAAGAGTATGTTTGACATTTTTAAACTTATTAAAAGTGTTAAAATCATTATGTAACGACTCTGAACTGCTTTCAGTTTCTGCGTTTCAAAGGGTAGGGGGGTGGAGTGGGGCTCAAATACTTCAGGGTGATTAACAAAGGAAAGCTGTTGCTGGCATTGAACTGTTTGGTGCTATTGGTTATTTAGCCAAGGCGGACTAAAGCTTATATTCCTGTAACTTACTGGCTGAACAACATCCATTAACTATAGGTTTTCACTGTTCTTTGCCATATGTTAAATCGCAACACCATTTCCCACTCTATTATGAAAACTGCATGGTCTGGAACAGATCAATCAGCTTCATTTTGTGTAGCAACAGAATAAATTTATTACACTTCTTACCAAAATGGATTTCTAGAGTTCAAGTGTGGTAGGACAAATGTGATGGACCAATTCTGAGAGGCTGAGGAATATCCCAGTTTGGAGTGACAGGGTAGGAGTGCATTGTATCAGTTAATCTGTGGGACAGCTGGACAAGGTGGACTGAAATTAATCACATAGCACCAAAGGAATCCAAACAGTGAAATAGGAGTTCAGGATCTCAGCTGAAGGTGACTACTGCAATGAAGACTACAAGATGTTTTCAAGATCTTTAATTCTAATGTACCTTAGGATTTAGTGTGTAATGATAAAACATTTAAGTTTACGAAAGCTAACAGCAAACCAAGGATAAGGGAAGATGTTTCTGAAGTTAATTGAATTCTGCAGGCATGCAGGTTCTGGTGTGTGATGGAGAAAGCAGCTCTGGTTATGGAACGATGGAGAAAATGAGTCTCATAATCAGGAAGTTGGGTGGTGATGTGTGTGTGCACTGTCAAAGTGGAGGGCTGTCTGGCGTCACCTACCCACCCTGTACTGCCTCAGTGCTGTCCTGACCCTTAAGGGAGAGCCACTAGTGTGGGAAAGGGTGTGATTGTTCCTTGCTGTAGGCTAGGAAAGTGCTGGAGCTCATGGAAGGGACGGGCAGACACAGGGGTGTCCTCTTGGTGGTAGGCAGTGGTTTGGCACCAGTCAAGGCAAATCTGACGGTGGAGGACATGTCAGGAGGCCTTTAGTTGCCATGTTAGATTAAACTGCATCACTGGTACAGCTGCAGCAGCCAGACCCAGCTGTTAATATCAGTATTTCCATGTGGCTGAGCAGGGGAAGAGCAGGGTGGCCTAGAAGGAGGCATTGTGACTTCCAGGGTTGTCCTGTGGGCTCTCTGCCTCTGCTGCCTTGGGAAAGAAGACTCCAGGAAATGCAGGGAATGAGTCACCTGCCAGACTGCCCACAGGTATCCCTGGTAGAGCCATGGACATGGTGGTCCCTGCCCAGGAGCACTGCAGGGCTGCCTGTGCCTGGAGGTTCAACAAGATCAAAGGCCAGGTCCTGCACTTTGGCCACCACAACCCCATGCAGTGCTACAGGCTGGGGACAGAGTGGCTAGAAAGTGGCACAGCAGAAAAGGACCTGGGGGTGCTGGTTGACAGCTGCTGAATATGAGCCAGCAGTGTTCTCAGGTGGCCAAGAAGGCCAGTTGCATCCTGGCCTGTATCAGGAACAGTGTGGCCAACAGGACCAGAGAAGTGATTCTTCCCCTGTACTCGGCACTGGTGAGGCCACAGCTGGAGTACTGTGTCCAGTTCTGGGCCCCTCAGTTCAGGAAGGATATTGAAGTTTGGCAGTGTGTTCAGAGAAGGACAACAGAGCTGGTGAAGTGTCTAGAGCACGAGTCCTATGAGGAGAGGCTGAGGGAGCTGGGACTGTTCAGCCTGGAGAAGAGGAGGCTCAGGGGAGACCTCATCGCTCTCTACAACTACGTGAAAGGAGGTTGTAGCCAGGTGGGTGCTGGTCTCTTCTCCCAGACGACAGGATGAGATGACAGCGTCTTAACATGTGCCAGGGGAGATTTAGGTTGGACATTAGGAAGAATTTCCTCAGAGAAAGGGCGATTAGACACTGGAATGGGCTCCCCAGGGAGGTCATAGAGTCACCGTCCCTGCAGGTGGTTAAGGAAAGATTGGACGTGGCACTTAATGCCATGGTCTGGTTGACAGGGTGATGTTCGGCCCTAGGTTGGACTCGATGACCTCAGAGGGTTTTTCCACCATTTTTTGTGATCCTATGTTCCTGCGGATCGACCCGGGCGCGTGGTGATGCCGCAGCCGCCCCCCGTCATCCCCGCCGCCAGGGGGCGCCATCCCGGCCGGCCGCCCCCCCGACGCACTTCTTCCTCCGTTAATGACGCCACTGCCGCGCGACGCCGCGCGTCGGCGCCGAGCCTCCCCCGGAAGCGCCGCCCTGCTCCCGGCGTTCCGCCCCGCTCCTGGCCCGTCCCGGCCCCGCCGCCGGCAGCAGCGGCAGCGGTAGCGGCAGCAGTAGCGGCAGCAGCAGCGTCATCATCATCATGTTGGAGCCGCCGCCCGCGGAGCCGCCGCCCGCGGGCAGGGACGTGCGGGACCGCCTCAGCCTGTGGGACCGCCGCCCGCAGCCCACCGCGCCGCTCAGCGACCGCCAGACCGACTCGGTGCTGGAGCTGAAGGCGGCGGCCGAGAACCTGCCGGTACCGCCCGAGGTGAGGCGGCGGCGCAGGCCGGCCCGGGGGGATGGCGGGAGGGCGGGAGCGGCCGCGGTGCCACGTCGCCAGGCGGGCGGCGGTGACGGCCCTGCCCGGCCCGACCGGCTGGGCCTGCAGGGCCGCCGCTCTCCGAGGTTCAGGGGCTCAGCAGCGCTTTGCGTTCAGCGCTTTGCTTCCCGGCAATTGCAATGGCTTCCTCCCTCCCTCCCTCCCTCCCTCGGGAGGGCTTGCTCTTTCTGCTGCCTTCCCGAGGCGCCTCGTGCCTACTGCCCGCCCTGGCTTGCAGGGTTTGTAGGCAGCGGTGGCAGCTTTCCCCTGAGCATCCCTGAGCCTGCCCTCGCTGCTTCCATCACTTCATCGAAGTTTGTCCTCTTGAAATTGAGAGCTTTAGTTGTGGAGCTACGTTCTTTTGGTCCTCTTAGTTTGATCCTCATTAATGCATAGCTGCTGGCGCCAGTGTTATTTCCTGGTACGACTTGCAGATGATCCAACGAGGGTGTAAAGCCAGGAATAGTGGTAAAAAGCATAATAATTTGTCAACACCATAGAGGACACGGTCTCCCACTCAGTTATAGAATACCGAACTCTGACAAAGTGATTATTTGTGAATACTCCTTTGTCTCAAAGGGAAATGGAACAGAATGTTTGCATTCCTTAGCTGCACTTTTCATGAGGGGCTTTGTATTTGACACATTTGATACATCATTACGATGTGAGCAGGATCGTAGCACAAGATGCGGTGCCATAAAATCAAGAAAGTTGGCTCTTGGCAAGTGTCAGAAAGCTCAAAATAGCAAGGGGGGAGTGTAAAGCAATACCATCCAGAAATGCAGATGTTTGATTTCATTCTTCCTGGTTTCTTTTCTTGTGTAAATATATGCAAAAAGTAAATATTGGCAGGCATCCAAAATGATTGTAGCAGGATATGCTGCTGTCATAGGATCTAAACCAGCTTTACAACAGGGCAGGTACTGTATTTGCCAGTCAGGACAATGGCGATGCCAAGACATCGAGTTCTTCAGTGGACTGGGACAGTGGCATCTCAGATGTTCTGGAAAATCAGGGTCTGATGGACTTCTGTATTTCTCAGTAGTAGACATGAGAGAAACCCTGGCTCCACTGCTAGGGTCCTACCTGTTTTAGAAAGCGGGGAAGAAAGGTGTATGGAAGTTGAACAACATACAGCAATCTGTCATTTCTCAAATAGTTGAAATCCTGATTGTTCTTTCTTTGTTGGACAAATATTGCCAGGCAGTGAATATTTTGCTAAGCAAGTCGTTTTTTAGAGGGATACCAATTTGTATTTTAAGTACTGTTTTCTGTTTTTACATTACTGATGTTCTCAGCAATTGAAAACATCCAGCTTATCGTGTTATTTAAAGAGGCTATTACATTAAATAAGTGTATATAACAATATTTGTCTTCTTGAATTTCCTTCATGTAAGCTAATTAACAGTCTCTGGTCATAATTAAATACAATTTATCTCAAGTTACCTTTTTTTCCCATATTTTTCTCATTTAAACAAAATAATTGTGGCTAAAAAATAATTCCCATTCAGCAGAGCTATTCCTTGTCTTCTGAATGAATTCTGGCAGTGTTAAGTCTTGAATTTTCCTTGAGCAAAAAACTCTGACAATTCCTGTGCAACGGTGTTGACAGGTACCATGGACAATAGGTTTGGTGGGTTT